GTAAAGTGCTTTGAAAAAATTAAAGTACTATATAAGTGTTAGCTATTATTATTTCTTTACTCGCATTGTACAGAAGAATATTACAGATATAGTTTTCTGAAACATACAGATACCCTCAAATGACAGTTATAGTGAAGTTTCTAGAAGTGAAGCAACAGTGGATGTGTACTGTAAATGTTACTAACTTTGTTTAAGATTAGGAGGAGAAAAGATGCAGGAGAGATCCCCATTATATTCTCTATTCTTCCTTGGGCCTTTACCTTTCTCTGGATCAGACTATAAAGATTTGGCATAGCAAAGTTACATTCTATATTTTCCTCTTTATAGTCTTCCATTGAAGTATAAAGATTAAATAGATGATAGTGTTAATACTGATCCTAAATACTTGATCCAATGTATTTTTAAATTTTAATTTATTTTTGTTACATTTTACTTTCCAAACTGTCTCCCTCTCTCCCTCCCCATCCCACACTAAAGGAGGTCACTATTTGAGATATGTGTGTGTGTGTATGCATGTATGCATGTATGTATGTAAAACCATTCTATGCATAATTCTGTTTATCAGTTCTTTCTCTGGAGGTGGATAGCATCTTCCTTCATACATCCCCTGTAGTTGATTTGAGTAGTTATAGCACTCTGAATAGCTTAGTCGTTCACAGTTATTTTTGAACAATATTACTTGTTACTGCACACAGCAATCTCTTGGTTCTGCTCATTTCACTCTTTATTATTTCACGCGAGTCTTTCTATGGTTTTCTAAAATCATTTCTTAACAGCACAGCAGTACTCCATCACAGTCATATACCACAACTTGTTCAGCCATTTCCCAATTGATGGGCATTCCCTCAATTTCCAGTTCCTTGCCACTACAAAGAGAGCTGCTATAAGTATTTTAGAACACATACATTCTCTTCCTTTTTCCCTGACTACCTTGGGAAACAGACCTAATAGTGGTAATATAACCATTAATTTGCAAAATAGAAACCAGTTATTTTGTAGTTTCCATCTGTTGAGATTGCTACTGGGGTGGAGTGTGGTGGAGGAAGGCAGCCTTGAAGTGACAGAACAAACTCACTAGTTCTCAATGCCTTTTGCAGAAAATAATCCTTCTAACCAAAGCAGCAGACCACACACATCATTTCAAACAACATGAGGAAAAAGAATAATTAACAATTGAACTGGTGAAATGAGCTGAAAAGGTTCTACTCACTGACCTGGCAGGTTTATTTGTTCATTTGTTTTTTCTTTTTTGTTTTGTTTTTATTTTTAAAGAGCAAGGTACAAAACATATGCCAGCTACCATTTGGGTGTCCTGCTTTAGCACATTATTTTAAATGGCAGTGATATTTTCTTATACAGCCAGGAGGTCACAGTTCAACTGTTCCTTTTGCTTTGAACTTTTTTGCAACATGCTCACTTGATTGAGGCTAGAACTTGTTCCTATAATTATGGGAAAGGTAATCATTGATTTCTGTAGTAAATAGTGAGTTTAAAATGGTAATATCTTTTAATTCATCTTTGCTGATAATTTTGAAGATATTTTCTTTCCCGCACAAGGATTCCCATAATACCAACGTAACAGAGGCACGAGAATTTTGTGGCCGAGCCCAACCCTGGATGTGAGTCGCTGCCTAACAGTTTGTCCCTAAGGAAATTCTGGCAAGGGAAGAACCATTTCTCATCCAACAAGGGCAACTCTAGGCCTGGCACCACTAAGTCCCACACCAGCGTTCAAAGGGACCTGCCACCCTATAGAACAGGATCAACCTCTCTCCCCTTGAGTCAGACCCATGGCTTCCTTCTGATGAATCTATGCTGACTTTTTGTAATCACTTTTTAGTTATTTTCCAACCACGCCCTTGTTGATCTAGTCTAGAACTTCCCAGGTACTGAAGTCAAGTACACTGGCCTGAAGCTTGAAGACTTCTCCCTTTTTATTCAACATTGGGACGTTTGTCTTTCTCCAGTTTTGCAGCACCTCTCTTTTTCTTCACTGTCTTTGAAATATCACTGACATTGGCACAGCAATCATACCTGACAGTTTTCTCATTGTCTGAGAACTCAGTTATCTGGCTAGGCCCCTGAATTCATCCAGGAAAACCAAGTCCTCTATTACTAACTCATATTTAGGTTGCTTATCAAGTGCTTTTCATCAGGAGTTGAGGATAAAGTAGAAATGCTGAGGAAAGGAAGCTTTATTAATCTACTAGGAAATCAACAGAAAAGCTACAACATGCCTATGGCAGCAAAAAGACTTCCAGAAGTTGTGAATTGTCCTACTGCCATATACACTACCTAAATTTGAACCCATTTTATTCCTGGTTTTCGCAGTAGGTAGGGGAGCATGTCATAGACCTCTGGAGGAATGGAATATACCACGTTCCTCTTATGTCACATTAGTAAATATCTACTTCTAAGAGCTAAGTTTCATGGACTTAATTAGTCATTGGTAGGTATTAGCTGATAATCATTGGGGGAAACCTACCAGTGGGGGCTCATGAGATTAAAATACTAAAAAAATACCTCAACCCCTCAGAGCTACCCCTAAAACTATGAAAGAAAATATAGCATTTGAGCTCTGGAGACCCAACTTGTCAGTGCTAGTTGAAGTTAGAAAAATAGCCTCAAAGCTTGAGCTACCAAGAAAAGTAATACCAAAGAAATAAATGGAGAAAAACAAACCTAACAAGTCTTTCTTTATTTCTATATTTTCTTCTGCTTCTCTGTGTTTTCTTCTGAACTTCCCTTTCTTCTCTGTGCATTTTTTAAATGACCCTCTTTATGATGTGTCTCTTGCAATCACAATCCCCATAAGTTTCCTCCCCAATTAAAAACAGGAGGGAAAAAAAACTTTTAACAAATAAGAATAGTCAAACAAAATAAATCCACACAATAACCATGGCCCCAAAATATATGTCCCTTTCTGTACCTTGATTTTGACATCTCTCTATCAGGAGGTAGATAACATGCTTCATAATAACTTCATCAACAATCAGGCTTCACTAAAGTAACAGGATATAAAATAAACCCACAAACCAAAACTATTTCTATTTAGCAACAGCAAAATCCAGGAAGGAACAATAGAAGGCAAAAGTCTTTTCAAAATAGCTTCACAGTGCATAAAATATCCGGGAGTCAATCAACAAAGATACACTCAGCACCTGTATCAATGAAATTACAAAATACTCCTTAAATTAAAAAAATTACTCAAGTAGTTTGAGGGCTGGTCAGTGCTCATGGCTGAGCCAAACTAATATTATTAAAATGATACTACCTACATTAATTTAAAAATTCAGTGTTATCCTAATCATTGTCATGGGGATATTTTAAAGAACTAGACAACAACAAATGTACTCAAAAAAGCTAAGGCTCTGTAATCACAAGAAAAAGGAATAAAGGAAGATTGATGGGGAAATAGAAGTTCCAGACTTAGCATCGTAATTAAAATAGTAATCATCAAAATGATTTAAAACTAGTTTAAAATTTAAAAACAAGATTAGTTGAGCAGAATAATTTGCATAGGGAAGAAGCAAAAACTATTTACTTCATTAACAGTGTTCAATAAACCTGAGAACATATATTAATTGGGGAAGAATTCCCATTTTGACCAGAATTATTGAGAAAAATTAGAAAAGAATCTGGCAGAAATTAAATTTATATTAAAGTTTAATACTACCACAATGAGCTCAAACAGATAGGGGACCTGACATTAAAAGACGCACGATTTTTTATAATTGGAAGAGAACCAGATCTAAAATCTTTCACAGGGAGAATATGTAATCAACTAGAGATAAAGGCAATCACAAACATAAAATAGATCATCTCACATACATGATATTGAAAGCTTTTGCATTTGAAAAATCAGCATAATTAGGAGAAGATGGGAAATGTTCAACTGGGGGAAAAATTCTTGCATCAAATATTTCTGTTAAAGGTTAGGTATCCAAGATATATACGTAACACAAATATATAGAAACAAAAGCCATTTTCCAATGGCCAAGACATCAAAAGAGATAAACAAACAGTTCTCAAAAAGAGCTACAAACTATTAATCACCATATCAAAGACTTTTCCAAATCACTAATAAAAAGAGAAGTATACATTGAAACAACTCTGAGTTTTCAACTCCCAGGAAATTGGCAAAGATGAAAAAATCATCATTGGAAAGTTTGTGGTAAGAAAGGTACACTAATATGTTGGTGGAGCAGTAAATTGGTCCACCATTCTGGAAAGCAATTTAGAATCATGCTAAGAAAATGACTAAAATATCTCTAACCTTTGACCCAAAAATACTGAATCAAAGAACTTTATGATGAAAAGTAAAGCCCTGTATGCACCAAAATATTCACAGCAGAACATGGTGCCAGAGCAAAGAACTGCAAACAAAGCAAATGCACAGGGGAACAGCTAAACAAATTGCAATGCATCAATATTATTGCCCTGTAAAAAATGAATATGATTAATTCAGAGAAGCATGGGAAGACATTAACTGATGTGGAGTGAATTAGGCATAAACAAGAGAACAATATACGTGAGTAAAATGATATAAATGAAAAGAACAACAGTAATGAAAATCAAAATCGAATACGGTCAAGTCTAATGATGAACTCTTTTTCAAAGTAGTGGGAGAGTTCATGGGTATAGAACACTGCATTTAATGGCACAATTAGTTGATGTATCCATTAATTCTCTTGAACTGCTTTTTTGTTCTATTCTTTGTTATAAAATCTGCTCTTTGGGAAGGAGATATATTGGGAAATGCCAGTGATTTAAAAACAAAAGATATAAATAATTTTTAAAGAGATAAGCCAGGATGAAAATCTGTTTTGACCAGTTGCATTTTTCACATAAGAGAATGCATGATTGAATATTTCAAGGAAGTTTGACGAGGTCATTGTAAATATATAAAAAATGCTTTGTTTCCTAAACAGAAATACACACACACACACACACACACACACACACACAATAAACAAACAAAAACACTTCATTTCACATACTTTGCAAAGCCAATGAAGTCTTCATGATTGGTGTTAATATAGGATAACTGGATGTCAATCAGCAATAACACCTAAAAGTCAAAGAAAAACAGAACAATTTTTGAACACAGTACTTCATAAAAGGCAACATTTAAAATGCTCCAGAACCTAAAAAATCAATACTGGACTTTAAAACCCCTTGGTACAAATGCCTAACCAATAGAGAAAACACTATACCAATTTTATTTTTTTCCATGAAACTCACTTTCTTTTATTTCATTTCCTTAAGCCAACTCAGAACCAATATATGCCTCTCTTGAGAGACAGTCAATAGGGAGCTTGTGTACTCCACTGGTGTCAACATAGTATAGTGTCCCACCTGTGGCTTGTCTGGGGAAGACATGAATAAGAACTGGCCAAGAAGGTCTGGTATTTTTAGGTTGCAATCAGGATCTCTGGCAGAAATACTCACATGAAACAAATCATAGAAGTACTGTCATATTAGCACAAAAGGAGTTTGAAAAAAGGTAATACTATTACAATTTGCAGAATAAAGTACTATGAGTGTTTTCTTATGTACAATCTGAAATCAAGCTACTGTAATGAGAAGAACAAGAAGGTGGTAACTCACTGCAGAGGCTTATATGCTGAAAAACTCTTCCAGGAGAAAAAAAAAATCTAACAGTAAGAAGACCTATGATCCAATTTCCTGGAGCTTTATCTCCTAAAGATAGTCACAAAACGATCTCTACTATCAGTTACTTCAAAGCTCTCTCATTAACAACTGTTTAGCTACTTCTCCTTAAGCCAGTCACTAAACAAACATAAATGGATAGGAGAAGTAACTAAAGGGCCTATCTTGGATCATTAAGGGCCCTCAGCATCATGAACCTTTTCTCTGTGTCTCCAAGTATAAAGCAGTTTATTCATTAATCTTACCACAAGTCATAAGGGCATAGCTGCTTAATAACTCCCAAGCAGGTCATTACTTAGTGTAACGAGTATCTGTTGATCGATTTATAACTGAGTGACAGCACAACTGAAATTCATGAAACAATAAGTGTATATGTATGTGTTGTGTGTGTATGTATATGTAAACACACATGCATATATGTATATACACATAGGCATGCACACAGATATAAGTATCACGTATCTGTATATACAGCACATCTGTGAGTACACACATATGTAATTTACCAATTTGTACATAAACACACACACACACTTATTGGTACACGAATTTCAACTGTGCTCTCATTCAGTTATACATCAATCAACAGATATTTGTTACATTAAGAAGTGATCTGTTTGGGAGTTACCTTTAAGGAGTTATGCCCTTGTGATCATGTATATACTTGATGTATATGCATGTACACATACATACATAATGTATGTTCATACATAAATGTATGTTCACATATACATACATATATCAACCTAAAGCTTCAAACTTCAGACTGTAATTTCAAATCCAAACTGTGGTTCACAGAGATCCAGAATGTTCCTAAGCAGCAAATATTCAACCATGGGGAAATAACATGTTCAAGAGGAAATGAGAGGGAAGTCAGGTTATCAGCTAATTTTAAGGAGGGGGAGGACTTACTCCCCAAAAATCAAAAAAGTCAGTGCTCTTCTCATGCAGAGAATCCTAAGAAATGGGAAGACATAAACTAGAGAAAAGGCAAGAACGAGCATTTTCAAAAGGGAAAAGTATCTTATGCCTCTTACATGGGTGGCTATCTGTAATTTTTGTATTCATGTACTGAAGTGGCACTACCATAAGAAATGTTAACATTTGAACTGTTCCCCCGTTTCCTATGCTCGTGTCATGAATGTTTGAGGTATTCACAGACGTTAACATGAACCAAAGGGTAGAAAAAGACAAGCAGAAAAATTATAGATGTTTCATGTTTACGTTCCAGGAAATTTCACATCTGGGTTCATCTCAATGAGAAGATATTTGTGTAGGGAAGAAGGGAGATAGAACACTTTCCCCAATTTTGACATTTTCTATGAGTTATGCATTGTCTTTTCTCATCTTAAAGAATCATATATAATTTATGAAGTTGTCTGAAGTTCAGAGATGTTAAGTAATTTGTCCATGGTCACAGTATCAGAAGTAGAATTTGAACTCAGGCCTTCCTGACTCTAAATCCATCCCTCTCACTATTATGCAAAACTTCCTCTGTTTTGAAAAAGTAGATGACACAGAATACAGTTAATCTCTTGAAACAGAAATAATTACCAGGCTCCGGACTGATCTTCAGTACTTGAAGTATTCAAACTAACATAGTAAACAAAATGTGTCCATATTTTAACTATTAAAATTTATTCTTTAAAGAAAAAAACTCTTAAGGTCATCTTACATCCTCCAAATCCTTCAGTTCATAGGAAGCCAATGCTCGGGCAAAGGCCTGAGAAATCATAGGATTCCCTACATACATATATTTGAATGAAGTTCATCAAGCCAAGAGAGTTAACATTGTCCCAATTACTGTCAACCACATCTCAGAAAATAATTCCCCTTCTTGTGAACTGCTGCACAGGGCTTTAAAAAAAGGAAGAACTATTAAGAGAGAAAATAAAATCATGACAATTTCCGTTTCAATGGACAATGATAAATGATATTGATACTGGAAAGTCTCAAACCCTAAGTTAACTATGTTCTATAAAAAGGCAGAACAGCAGAGTGGAAATAGCAATGGACTGGAAGTCAAAGGTTCTGATTTGAGTTCTAGCTTCCATACTTACCAACTATATTCTCTGATATTTCCTTATTAGCTATCATGTTATAGTCTTTCATAGCCTCAGTTCCCTTAGCTATAAAATGGTGATAATAATCATTATTACCAGCCTCACAAAGTTGTTGTATGGAAACCAAAACACTTTTTAATCTGGAGTATAGACATCGATAGATTAGATAGACAGATCTATGGTTTATTATTCCCTTTCCTTCCCCACCATTTCTCTACTTTGATGGACATTTCTGTCTTTCTCTTTTCCTCTTGATTTCTTTATCCTTCTTTCCCTCTCAGACTCTTTTCCCTTCTTTCTTTCTGTCCACATCTTAAAATCTTAACAATTAGACACAAGAAGATACTATAGACATTTAGAACTAGAAGATACCTTGGAGATATTTTACCACAATTCCCTCATTTTACACATGAGGAAACTGAGTCAAACAGGGTTAAGTGACATGCCCTGATTCACACAGCTGGTGTCTGAGACCAGATTTGAATTCAAGAAGATGAGTCTTCCTGATTCTAGGTCCATCTCTCTATACACTGCATTACCTAACTGTATATTTAATAGTTATCCCTAAAAAGATAGAGTAAATATTAGGTTGTTTTTAAATTTTTTATGTGGCCTCTGATTAATTATTTTCCCTCATGTCAGTGGCCTGTCAAAAAAGGAGTCTCCTCAGTGAATATTAGCAATTACAGGATTATCAAATATCTCCTAATTCTAGTTATTTGATGTACCATCTCATAATGACTCCCTAAAATGTCTAAAACATTTTAAAGGAGAAAATATGGGAATTATTCCCTAGAATCTCTCCTAAAAAACTTATCTGCTCCATGTATTTTTTCTCCAACAACTTAAAATTTATTTCTTACCTGGTCTTTAGTCTTTCCTTCTCTCTCACGAATGTGGTTAGCAACAATCCGTTCTGTTTCTTCACAAAGTCTTGGGAAGTTTGCAAGCTATAAGAAAAAAATAAATAAAAATACAAATTATTTTAAAGCATGCTACAAAAAGGAACATGGAGGTATTTGCTTCCTTATTGTGGTTTTGGAATCTTCTTTTTTTTTTAAATAGAGCATTGAATGCCCATACCTTTGACCCAGAAATCCCACTGCTAAAACACATACCCCCAAGGGAATCAAAGACACAAAGAAAGGCCCAATATGCACCAAAACATTCATTGCACCACTTTCTCCATTTAATGCAAAGGTAGAGGATTATGGATATGGAATGTTTCATAGACTGGGAGGCACAATTGATGTGCCAGATTGTGTGGCTAACCTGCTCATTTTTTCTCTTTCTTTTAAAATCTTTGTTACTGCAAATGATTTGCTGGAAGAGGAAGGATATAATTGGAAATGAATATGATACAAAAACAAAAGGCATCAAGAAAAATAATAATTTTTAAATTGAAAATTACATCATTAAAGGGGTGAAGTAATAAACAATCAAGGAAATCTACAGAGCTCATTATTACTGAAACTGCAGAATGATTTAAAAAAAACAGCAAATAAAATACGAATGACAGCTATGTGGAGGAGTAAAATCAACTTCAAATAGCAAAGAAAATCATTAGAAAGACTGCCAATTGAATATTTGGTATTGATGAAAATGTTTACTGTCATAAAAATTGCTAAAAGACTTTCTTTTTCATTAGAAAGCATGAAAAGATTTCTTCTCTAGCAAAGCAAATAGAAAGGTTTCTACAATTTTCCAGATACTTCAAACCAACCACATATTCATCTGAAGATGGGTCAAGGAGCCTTGAATGATTTTAATACCTTTAAGAATTCTTTGTTTCTCTTTTTAGTGGAAATCAGCACAAAACCAGGAAATATAATGCCTGTATGCACCTTCTGTCCATATGTACTCTAAGATGATCAATTAATCAACCAACAAGCTTTCATTAAGTGCCTACTGTGGTTTCAGGTGCCATGGAGGTGCTAGAAATACTAAAACAAATGAAACAATACTGTCCTTAAGGAACTTAAAGTCTATGGGGGAAAATAATATATACGCAGATAAATATATCCAATATAAAGAAAAGGCAAGGGCTGGCAGAAGCTCTAGTAGCTAGAGGATCAAAAGAGGCCTCCTCTGGGAGCAGCACTTAACTGAGCTTTAGGGAGTCTCAGAGGGGACCTAAGGCAGAATAAGTACATTCTAGGAACATTAGATGGAATGTCCTATGTGAGGAGCAGCAGAAAGGTGAATTTCACAATCCCCCAAAATAATAAGGTTGGAAATATAGTTTGTAGGCAGGTGGTAAAGGGTTTTAAATGACAAACAGAGGAGTATGCATTTGATCCTAGAGGTAATAGAGAATCACAAGTAGTTTACTGAGCAAAGGAGTGATATGGTCCCACCTGTGCTTTAAAAACAATCATGGTGGCAGCCACGTGGAGCCACTTGGATCCCCGGTGGCTACATATTTACCCAGAAGCTCACAAGTCAACATTATCTATATTGTATTGTATTTTCATTTATTTTGTTAAAAATTTCCCAATTCCATTTTATTCTGGTTCAGGACTCACTTGGGAATCTTGCAGACGGACATGGGTAGTGAGTTTGACATCTGTGGTTTGGAGGATGTTTTGGAGAGAGGAGAGACTTTAGGCAAAAAAGACAAACTAAGAGACTATTTCAATAATCCAAGGTGATGACTCCATGGTCGTGTAAGGGGAGAGAAGATAAATGTAGGAGATGATGTTAAAGCAGAATGTTTATGACTTGCAATTGATTGGTCCTTCCAAGCTGTCTGTATTACTTCTCTTTATATGCATCATTCCATCTTCAATCTGTGCATTTGTACAGGGTGTCTACATATCTAAAATGCTTCATTTCCCTTTGTAGAATCCCTGATTTCCTTCAAAACTCAATTTAAATGATGCCTCCTACATGGGGCCTTTCCTGATTCCCTACTGACAGGATGTGTGAAGTGAGGGAGTATGAGAAAATGAAGCTGATTCCAAGGTTATAAAATTGGGTCAATAGAATGATATTAGAAAAAGGAAAGTTTGGAAAAGAAGCTAATTGATGGGAGTGATGAGGAGGAGGAGGGGCAGAAGAAAGAGGATTCAGCTAGCACACATTACTTTGTTATGATAGGAAAAGGATAATTTTACTCTTACAATAGAATTAGGGTTATAGCACCTGGAGGCAACTCCAAATCTGCATAGGGTCGCCATGGTCTTCTAGGTATTACTTTCTACCTTGGCTTTATACCTTCAGGCATCAGCAACTGCCCTGCACATGTAACCTAGGCAACGCTGGTCCCTTGCTATCCTCTCCACAGCAGCAGTCCAAAGATTAGCTGAATTTCCTTCTGTGGGTTGTCTCCCCCAGTAAATATTTGAGCTTTCTGAGAGGAGGAACTTTCCATTTGTATCCCCAGTGCTTGGCACTTGATGAGCATTTAAAGATGCTTTTTAATTTGATTCAAGGTTTCTATGGATTCAAGGTACTCTGGAGGTTCACCTCTGCTTATGACCATAAGCCTCACTTTTTCTAGTCTGCCTAAAAACAAAATTATTTCAAATTAAGGGCATTTAATGAAAGAGTACAGTAAGAGACATTTCAATAAAATGTCTCTTTTGTAAACCTGAGACACACTCTTCCACAAATACACATACTTTCAGATGAAAGAATGAATACACGTAAGGAACATGGACAAAGGGATATAAATGTAGGCAACATGTTACCAGGAGATATGTGGAGTTGTACAAATGTGAGAAACATATGACCAGGGTCCATTCAAGGAGGGGCACACATAGAGAACACGTGTAGGGAGGGCACTGCAGGGCTGCTGATGTCTTCTGGTGACATCGTTGCATCTTTCTCCAGGCCTACTCCTCACTGCCCTCATTTTGTCATTGATAAGCTTAACACTGACCAAATGCTTCTAAGTACAAATTCAATGTCCCCCCTCTATTAATTATCTTCGATTGATATGTCTCTCTCTATATATCTCTGTCTCTATCTGTTTTCTCTGTTTCCCCCACTAGGCTGTGAGCCTCTTGAGATCAGGCACTGTCTTTTGTTTTTTCTTTGTATCACCAGCTTAGCACAGTGCCTCGTATACAGTAAGTACTTATTGTCCGAGACTATTTTTTTATTTTTAGGCAATTGGGGTTAAGTGACTTGCCCAGGGTCACACAGCTAGTAAGTGTCAAGTGTTTGGTCTGAGGTCAGATTTGAACTCAGGTCCTCCTGACTTCAGGGCCGGTGCTCTATCCACTGTGCCACCTAGCTGCCCCATGTCTAAGACTACTGAGGGGATAGTTCCTAGACATGAACCTTCTTCTCTTCATTTGTATAAAACATACATGCAGAGCTTTAGCCAGCCCAGTTGGTCTTAAGATTTCAGGACCAACTTAATATATCCAGCGAAAATAATTGTCTTCTTAATTGTATTCCACACAATATACTAAGTTGTTGGGAAACATCTTCTTTTGGAAATCCATGCAAATACAAATCATACAATGAAAAGAAATAACCAAACCAAAAAGAAATAACAGCAATAGTAGACTACAGGGAAGTATCAGGAATTTCATTAACAATATATAGGAAATATATTGTAGCAGAAAAATATTTTTGAAATACAAAATAGTAATGATAATAAATATTTATTCATAAACTAAGACTTTGGGTCTTTATTGAGTCAAAAACGGCTAGAACTAATTACAAAATCTTAGAAAGTATAGATACATAAGCCCTGCCTCCAAGCTACTTCCCTAGAGATTGAGGGTTTATAAACACCAAAAGACAAAAGTTTTTAAGTTGTCCAGGCTGACTACATGTTGGAACAGTTTATCCAGAAGTGAGAAGCTATAGTAATATAATTTGTCCTACAAAATAATACAGTAGACTGGAAAGAAATGAAAAGGTAGCCATGTTTAAGTTCTCAGTAGACCAGAGAAGGAGTAGCATACACTGGAAAAAGTCTCTTTATGGAGAACAGAAAAATAAAAATATTGGAGGAGGACTAATAAGTTCAGAATTTAGCAGCCACTGAACGACAAAGCAATTTGTGTGAATCCATACTGTCAGTTTGTCAGTGTTACTGGAAACGTTGCAGGAGCATGAAAATTAAAATGGTAGTTTAAAATGCTCCTAGGCAGTAAAAGAGCATGTAATATGACACTGAGTATAAATATAGGGAGGCCTGCTCTCAATTTAGGGCACAAGTCCCAATTCTTGCCGTTATGATTCACACAGGAAGAGAAACAAAACACAGACATTCAAAGTTATTGCTGATCAGGCCTTCCGCCACTCACCTCATTAGGGAAATAGCTCATACAAAAATAAGCTGTACCAGGAGTCCTCGATCTGTTTTCATTTCCCTTTGCTTAAAGAACAATCTACTTTGCCTACTCAGCTCTCTCCCTTAATTCATTTATTTTCCTTCCTTTATTTCTAATTCCTTATTTACCCTACTTCCCTTCCCTAATATATATATATATATATGCATCATTTCTATATCACTTTCAATTTTATTTTACCCTTGGATATTATCTAACAAATCTACAGTATTCAGAATGAGAACTTTTTTCATCTGACCCATCCAAATCCTGTTCATACATTCCAAAACTAGTTTTGTTTTGTTTTTTTACACCTGAGCAGTAGTACTTTGTCCTTTGCCTAATGTTGCTCTCACTACTCAGTAACTTAGCTTATATGGTCATAGAACAAAAGATTTGCTACTAGCTATACTATTATACATATATGTACTATTTTATATTCACATGGTTTGTTTTATGATACAATGACAGTATACCCCTCAAAAGGTGTAATCATCATAACTGTAAAAATATCCAAATCATAGTTAGATTTTTATGATTCTGTCAATGAAATATAAACTGTATTTTATGTGTGATAATCATTGAATCATTTATATGACATAAAGCAAGTCAGCTAACCTTCCTGATTCATTTGTAAAGTTAATGTAAATGTTTACTAT